TTTCCAAAGGCAATAGGCGAGCTGCCGGGAGGATCCTATCCCACCTCACAGTTTTGTGTGCATCCCCAGTGAGAGAAAGAGACCCAGAATAATCACAATAAAATACTCATGATTAGCATCCCTATAGGACTCTTGCCTTCAAAGCCCTTCTGCCCCCTTCTCTGGCATACGTTCAAGTTCACCAGCATGCTTGTCCACCCCCTCTGGTTTCCTTCATCCCCCATAACCTCATTCTTGTGGACTGAATACATTTGTTGCCTTGCCTCACACTGTAGAAGCCAGAGAGGCCAGAGTGAGCCCTGGATGTACATTGAGACAGGCGATTGCGTCTGTGTGTGTGTGCGTGAGAGTGTGTGCGTGTGTGTGTGTGTGTGTGTGTGTGTGTTGGTGTGTGCATGCACTCCGTGATTGAAAAGAATCTGTTGGGTTTAATTGATGCATTCGATTACCATGATGACTCCCTCCCTGGAGCTTTCCAAAATAGCCAGATGTACCAAGTGGACCCCCTCCAGTTTTTGCCTTTGGTTCAGACTGCGAGCTGGGGACGGGGAATGGTGAGGATTATGGAGACGGGCACAATGGAAGAAATCCCTAAGCCTTGTTTCTGTAAGGCTCAGCCACCATCTCCTTCCACCAGGACACCAATTAGACTATCTCTGGCCTGGAGAGCCCTGGATAAAAGTGAAAAGGCAGATGTGGAGGAAACAAGTGTGCTGTTGCTTCTGGGAGGCCCCCTGCCCCTGGCCAACCCACCCACCCACGGCCTCTCTTCACTGCTAGGATGAGCAAGAAAAATCAAACGGGAGAGCTCATTTAAACTTATTGTAGGAGGAGGGGATTTTCTCAGCCCACTGGCCCCTTCCTCTCAGCTGATGCTGATTGTCACTCGCTAGACACCCGCCTGGCCATGGCTTTTGTCCCTGAAGCCCAGAGAAGTGGTATAGGGTCTGATTCCTGCCTTCTCCATAGTCGCAGACACATTATATTAACCCGCGTGGCTGTACTAGATGTCCGAGACTCTACGCAGCTCTGTTCATACCAGAAGACGTCCTCTGAGCTTGGACTGTTAGTGGGAATGAGCCAAGAATGGGTGGGGGTGTACAGACAGCCAGGGAGGGAAAAAGCCTGATGGCAAAAGCCTGGAAGGCAGGGAATTTGGATCCTTAATCCTAGCGCTGCCTTTAACTGCCCTTCTGATGCAGGCCACAGTCGTCTCACCTTAGGGATTGGACTTGATCCCTAAGATCCCGTCTGGCTCTCAAGTCCTGCCTGGGGACGGCTGCTCCCCGGAAGGGATGAGAAGCCCTGTGTCATCTCTGCCCTCGGGTAATCCTAGGATTGGTAAAGGGAAGCTGCTGTTTTGCTAATAGTGACAGAGCTCTGGGCCCGAAGATCACAAAGTCAGTTTCATCCTAGGAGTTGACAAACTGTGAGACCTTCAAATGTAATTAACCTTTCCATACAACCAGTTCTCTTTGAGAGGCACAAACCCATCCTCCATCCATCTTTAAGTTTTCTCTGGAGAAAATCATCAAGGTAGATGGCCTGGCTGGCTAAGTTTTCCTTTTGGCTTTACCAACGCAGAATCGCAACATCTCCAACAGCAGAGGGGAGGATCAGCCGAGAAGTGTCCCCTGCAAGGGCCTTGAATGTGCTCCAACAGGGCATTTACGCGGTGGCCGTTGGTCGACGGCTCTCAAGCTGGCTAAAAGCAGAATCATGGTTTGTTATTTAATCCACATTCTTGGTGATCACTTTTGGCGTTTCTGATTCAGTGGGTCTCGGATAGAACTTGGCAACCTGTACTTTTAAAAGTGTACTGAAAAAGTGGCATGGGTAATTTGGATGCTTATCCAGGGCTAATAAGCACTGATTTATGCATTCAATTCAACAGATTTTCATTGTGGCTCTGGCTGTATGGGATATAAAAGAAAAACGCATAAGGGCTGGTCTGGCCTTGGCTTTCTAGGAAATCCTAGCAACTTTTGCTACTGAGAGAGGCAGACATGAATGCTACAAACTGTAATTAGGTAAAACTTGGGAACCAACCAGTTAGAATTGAGACGTGAACAGTCAAGATGGAGGGTGGCCGTAAACAATCTGTGTGACCACATCAGTATATTGCCAGGCAGGATATATTTCTGGCTGTAATTGATTTGATGAGTACTCTATTTCCGGGTGGTATGGGCTCAGAAGAATGATATTGGGGTGGAATCTTGAAAAAAGAGGATACAGATATATCTTTGTATCTATTTAGATTAAAGTAATTACAGAAGGAGAAACCAAAAAAGGATAGATCATAAAAATAGCATGTGTACCTTTAGAAAGAGGGAGGGAATAGAGGAGGCCAGGATAGGCATGAGAATTCTTTGAATAAATCATGTTTTATAGATTTGTCTTTGGAGTTATGTAAATATTTTTACATAATCTTAAAACAAAATACAAAAAAAGCAATCCCTAAAAAATTTAGAAAGTAAAATGAAAGGAGGGGGAAAAAAAAAAGAACTTAAATGTATATCCAGTTGGAGCATAACCACACCAGGAAAGTATTTCAAGTAACTTAAAACAAGGGTGTATTTTTTATATCCCTAGTGGGACATGCTCTAAGTACAGAAAGAACTACAAAATGAAACAAAACCTGGAGCTATTTTTTGCAGCTGTGTTGGTGGTGGTGGTGTTCTATTGTTGTTCTGAGGCTGTAGGTTTTGTGAACCTGTACCGTTGTTATATGTGTATGTGTTGGCATATAAACAATTATATGAATGTTATTGAGAACAGGGATTTTTATTATGGGAGAAAGGACATACTGATGTGAAATTGTTGAGGAGAGGAAATACCTGTGGTTCTGCATCTGTCTTGGAAATATTATTATGACATCCCAGTATATATTATCTTTTAAAAAGTACATGTTTAGTGGCTCTCTGTATGGAAGAGACTTAAAAGAAATGAACAAATTCAGTAGCATGGAACAGCCCTCGTTCCCAGATTATGTTTTCTAAATACCATTTTCTCTTAAAAGGAAACAAGATTTCTTAGAGAAATGGCTGATGCCGATCCAGTGCAGGAAATATACAAGATGAGTCCCCTAAATCTTGTCATATCAGAAAACAAGCTACGTATGAAACACCACTGGTGTCCCCATGTCGGAAGGACTCAGGATCCTACTAGATTAGATTCTCACCAACCAGAGATGGGATAGCTTAGACATACCAGGATGGATAATAATTGCAAAGGGTTGAAATTCACAACAACCACATTCATATTATGAGTTCATAATGATATGTCTCTCGGTCATTGGAGGAACTATCTCATTATTTTTACATTGATAAGTAAAAGAAAAAAAATCAAGCATTTATCCTGTTTCTCATCTATGGTCGGTATTTCAGGTCTATCAACTAGACGAGGGGAAGTTTCTCTGTATAAAAGCATTGCAACCAACAAAGAAGGACACACAGAATTAGAATGTCACCATTTTATAGCCCCTAATTAGGGTTGCCAGATTTAGTGAATGAACATGCAGGACTCCCAGTTAAATATAAATTTCATTTGAACAACAAATAGTTGCTTAGTGTATATATATATATATATATATATATTTGGGATATACTTACACCAAACAATCGTTTGTTGTTTATCTGAAATTCAAATGTAGCTGGAAATCCTGTATTTTATTTGGCAACCTGACAATGAGTAAATAAATGTAGACAATGATCATTGATATTGCTAACATCACAACAAAAGGACCAGCCAGACACTGTGAACCTTCTCATAGAAATACATAGCACGGCCTGTGAAGTAATTTTGTCAAATTATTGAACCTGAATCAATCAAGCCTGCAGATCTAACTATCAATTTACAGGAAATACAGAGGGACAGAGGAACATGTTAAATGATATGCAATCAGCAAAATCCAAACTGTCAGAAACATTATACAGCAAATGGTCTAATCTCTAGACTAAAAAGTAACAAGGGGAAAATGGTCGAAAGAAAGAATTGAAGGGGAACCTATAAATTAAAAGAGACTTAAGAGACATATCAACCAATTGCAAAGTGTGGACCTTTTCTCGTATCATTTGCAACAGAAAGAAAGAGACGGAGACAGAAAGACATAGATAAGACCAAGATTGAGTTTGGTATTATAGCCTTATTTTTATATTTTGGGGGGAGTATGATAATGCCATTATGCTCATTAATTTTTCAGAAAGTCCCCCTTTTCAGAGATATGTACCGAAATAATTTAAGATGAAATAAGAATTTTTTCAAGACACTTGGGGGGAGAGATGGGGTGGGTGGCAAGTAGAGAGAGCAAGAATGACTACCTGTGGTCACTGTTGAAGCTAAGTGAGGCATCCATTATACTTCTTGATACATGAGGGCTCATTATCCCGATATTTATGCTTTTGTATATACATAGGATTATTTATTAAAAAAAGTATTTTTTTAAATGAAGGGAATCTCTGTTGGCTGATTCAGTGGGCAAGCAGGATCTAAGTACTTGACCTATATTAGTTCATTTTAATTTCACAAAGACCAAAAGAGGTAAGTTTTATCTTTATCTCTATTTTACAGATGAGGAATTGAGGCAGGGAAGGTCAGATAAGTTGTCCAAGGTCATGTAGGACTAAGTGGGGAGTCGAACTCCAAGCATTCTGAACCCATGAGCTTAACCACCAGTCATCCCCTAAACTGGCAAAGTGGTTTATGTGCCTTGGTATGTATTTAGCCCTTGGGGGGATGCGGCCCTGTGCTCTCCAGCATGTTGACCTGTGCTCTTGGCAGTGATGTCCCGTTGTTGGTGTGGATTGTGGTCTGTGGGCATTCTAGCTTGAGACTGGCCATTTGACTTAAACGGGCTTTAAGGTGGTGTCCCATTATGAGATTCTATTGTTCTTTTTTTTTTTTTTTAAGATTGTATTTATTTGGGAGAGAGAGAGCATGGGGAGAGACAGAGGAGAGGGAGAAGCAGACTCCCCACTGAGCAGGGAGCCCAACACAGGGTTCAATCCTAGGACCCTGAGATCATGATTGAGCTGAAAGCAGGTGCGTCCCAAGATTCTATGGTTCTAAGTAGTTTTCATCCCGGTGAAAGTGAGTCCTGAGTGCGATATGGCAATTCTTCACCTCTCAGAGCTATGGAAGCAACTAGGAGAGAAACCAGGAACCCAGGATGAGACCGCAGCAGGGGAGGGAACTCACCAAACCTGGAGTTCCTCAATAAGGGCCCATCTGTCCCTTACCTGGAACCTCCCCTACAGAAGGCACTGTGCCAATCATGTGCCCTCTGTTCTCCAGGTAAGCTCATTGGTCTAAATATTTGCAAAATGTGTTCTTCAGCCTCTGGGTATAAACATGGTTTCCTTTATAAATACCGGCTCCTCTCCCCAAGGAAATCATGCCTGCAAGTAGTCTGACTTCCAGGATTGCAAGTCCTCCAAGTTGGACCCAACCTTCCCCAAACTGTCATCTTGCTGAGAGCTGACATTCAAATATCTCCCCTTGAAGAATGGGACCACATTTCTTCTATACTCAGCTCTCCCCTTTCACTGAGTACCCGTAGCTCTTTTGCCTCATGAACCTGCTAGAGTAGAAGGATTTGGAGGTCACAGTCAAAGGAACTGGACATGTGGGCCACATAGCGGGTCTCTGAGCTTGTTACAGGTGCATTGGATTTATCAGTTTACAGGAAGGAAAGATGGGTTTATATGCAAGTTCCTCCCCCCCCAACCCCGATTGGGGACAGTCTCATGGATTGGCTGACACATATGTCCTATTTTTCAGAACTATCTTTGGAGCTGCCAAGAGTCAATTCCAGCTCTCTGTTTGGATAAGATGGAGGTTTCAAAGGAAAGTTTTCCTTGGCAAAACCTATGTCTTGGCTCAAACAATCCAATGATGAAAATACCCAAGACCAAAGGCAAGGCAGGGCTGCTTCCAATTACTGGGGTTGAGCTCGTTGGGAATAGGTCTCATGACATTCCTTGGATTAGGAGCAGACAGCATTTTCATCAGTAAGCCAGGGGAAAAAGAACGAGATCATTTCTCTGCTATTTGGTGGACTTTCCCAATTATGGAAAGGTAATTCAAGTCTTTGGTGATTTTGGAAGTCTTCCCATTGGAAAATTCCCGTGGATTTTTGGTGCTGGTGTTATTCTGGAGCATCAGGAGTCTGGAGAGTTCTGGAGAAAGTGAAGTCTGAGTCGTCCGAGGACTAGAGAAGAAATCTCGGACAAATGGCCCTTGCAGATGTGTTGCCTGGGACTTGCCCACATGCCTCAGTAGCGAGGTCCGGCTTCTCATGTGACTTGAACTCGTTATCAACAAAAGAAGAGCAGTCCGGGATGCCGGCAGAGCAAGTCAAAGATCTTTTCAAGGCCAAGAACCCAAAGAAGCTTGAGAAAAGTCAATAGAAAATGAACTCAGAAGGAAGAAGGGTGGGGAAGAATGAGAGATCTCTCTTTCTGGATGGCAAGCCCATACTTTTTTTTTTTTTTTTTTTTTTTTATTGGTTTGGCGGACAATCCTCAGCCACTGATAAGGAAGCTGATGCTGTCATTCTAGGCAACTCATTTCATGCAGGTCGGGGTGGGGGGGCTCTTGCCTTTTGATCCATAACACCACCCTGCACTCCTTTTGGAGCGTGACATTTGCTGAGGCATTTGGATGGAGATGAAATGAGGAAGCTTTGACTAAAATAAGTCATTTCCACTTCTTCAAGTTTTATGTCTTTTCTTAATTTGCAAACTTCTTCCTGTGGGTCAACATCTGCCCATGGATGGCCCCCTCTCCCTGCCCAGGCCCCCAGCGTCCTCAGAAAGATGGTCTAGACCTGTGGGTTTTCTCGTTATCATTTATGGGACCCTGGGCGGGCCTCAGCCATCTCAGTTAGAGAGAAGGGATGCAGTTCCTTAGTGCTTTTCCCAGTAGGTGAAACTATGCCTCATGAGCAAATGGATGGTCCTCTTGGATACAATCTGAGATCTACGTTCAATCGACGCAGTACATATTAGGACACAGTTCTCTGGGTCCCTTTGGAAATGGAAGTGTTCAGGTGAGCTGTCCTGACACTTTCACACAGGCCATGAGTGGCTTGACTCTCAGTTGATCACACTTCCTAGCTCTGCCCTCAGAGCAGTGGCCACTTACCAACATTTCCAGTAAAGCTCTCCTCACAGGTTCTGCCATCTAGATGAGAAAATGGATGGGGCCTTCTGCCTGCCCCTCTCCAGAGACCAGACTTCCATGCAGAGGGAGGTGTGGGAAGGCAGAGAATCAGCAACTTAGAGTTGCTGGAATCCATCCTACCAGGACAGTCCCATCCACAATACTCTCTCCCGTACCTTCCCCAGCCTTCCTCAGGCTTTCTGCAGTAGAAGAAAGTGTCTGTTAGGGATCAAACGCTAGCAGGGCTGAGAAACTCCTAGTTTAATTTCCTGAAGGAACACAAGAAACAGCAATATAGTGACAAAACACTCCTGAGAAAGATCTTTAAGGCTGAGGTCCTTTGGACACAGATGGGAGCAGGAGAAGGCAACAGGCCAGGCTCTTCTCACCGCTAGCGTGAAGAGCCCACCCATCCCGGCAGCACATTCCATTCCTTCCTCCCTCCAGACAAGGACTCAGAGGCCAAGGGCACCTTCCGTACCACTTTACCTTTCCCCTTATTCTTCTTCTCTAGGTTCCAGCTACGCAAACTGTAACCTTGATCAGGATGTCCTTGCCCCATATTGTAGACGACTTAGCAAAGTTGATCTTCCACATCTGGAATGTCCCTTCTGTACCATTTTGCCAAAGCTCGCCCTTCCCTGTTCTAAAATCTAGCTCTGTCACATCTCCTTCTGGAGCTCACCTCACTCCTGAACACCTGCACCGACCTTAGGGCTCAACCTGTCACAGCATCATAAAAAGTCAGAGCTCTGTGGCCTTAGAGATTACCCAACGGTCTCATGTTCCTTTGGGGAAACTAAAGCCCAAAGTGGGGAAGGAATTTGTGGGATTGTGAGATGAGAGAGTGGTACAGCCGTGGTTGTAAGTCAGACTTTGCACCTCCTGGGTGAGGACTCTTCTGTGTGAACTTGTCTTGCTTCTTTTTATCATGCACTTGAGCCACATCCCCATTAATCTCTAAACTTTCTGAGGACTTGTTGCCCCTCTTTTTCATGTTAGAGGCTTCGCTGTGGCTAAACCAATACCCGACAACGTTGGGCACATGACATACTACCTTATTTTATTCGGTCTTCATAGACACTCTCCAGCAGCAGCAGAGATCTAATTGATTCCGCAGAACACATGACGAAACTTCGATGCAGAGAATTGGATGGCTTATCTGAGGACATCTAGAGACGTCAGCTCACACAGGAGAACAGAAGACCCTGGTACCAAATAACAATGCAGAGGACGAAACTGATTGTTACCTAACAAGACCTGTAGCCAGGGGAACTCGCATGCTCAGAGAGGATGATGGGGTTCTCATGGTTCAGTGCTCTGTCTGCTATTTCCCTGTGGTTCTCTGCTTGCCGGATGCCTGATTCAGTTGTACTGTCTTAAAACGGGCAACGCTCGGAGGCATGGCTGGGTCAGGAAGAAGGGGCTTGCCATTAGCCCTGATTATTTAAGCAAACTCTAATTCTTCTTTCCCAGCACCCCAACTCTCCCCCAACCCTATACGCTTGCCGCGTGCAGAATGCCTGTGGGTTCCTAAGGGAATGCCGGGCTCCCAGACAGGGGGGCTTTCCGCCCCTCCCCCAATCCTCCCCATGTGGGCTGGGGGGAATGCAGTCACATCATTTGCATTTATCAGGGAGAATATACCGCCTTGTCTGTAGCCTTTAGTCTGACTGAATTGCTTTTCTGCTTCATGAGACACACAGCGCGCCAGCCCAGCGCTCCCCTCTCCTCTTTACTTCACCAGCATCGGCGTAACCCACTTTGCTCTCCATCGCATTTATCATATTGATCGTATAAGAAATAGATCATAAGCAGAATGAAATTACCGAATGCAATGATCTGGGGCATCCTATGGACCAGATCAATCTTGGGGCAGCCAGGAAAAAAAGTCCCTGGCTGTGACGTTTTCCAAAGTTGATTTTCATTGCAAATAGAAATTTCCATCAGCTGAGGTACCCTGCGGGGTCGGGGGTGGGGCGGTAGGGGGTGGCAAAATAGGGTCTTGATAAGCCTCATAAGGCTCATTCATCAGGAAGGAGACTTCCTTAGCTGCAACTCCCTTGAAATAGATGTTTGAGGCTCTAGTTGTAACAATATCCATTTTCTCCTACTTATTTCTCATTCTCCAAGTTGTTCTTCTTGTGTGTGTGTTTGGGGCAGGGCGCTGATACCGAAAAAAGGTAAGATTCTCACTTATTTAGAAGACTGTCAAGGACTCTTTCTAATCTCCTGTGAACGCCTGGAGTGAGCCTGGCTGGTCTTTGTCACCCTGGCCCCAGCCTGTGGGTGTGGAGTGTCTGTGGGAGGCTGGAGTTTTAACAGCACTGTTCGTAGGGGACAGTGTGGGACTTGTTTATTAAACGGCTTCTTGAAAACACAAGCTTGAAGCCCCCACTCCTCCCAGAACTGAGGCTCCAGACATGACCTCTGCCATAATAAGAACTTTTCTCCCTGTCTGGAGACAAGGCTGGTGAGTTCAGCTGAGACTGGAAATCCAAGTGAACAAGGTCTCTGGCAGCCTGCCACCCCCTCAGACTGAAGCAGAAACCCACAGTGGGAATGTGGTCCGAGGCCTGGGTCACCCCCTTCCCACTGTGAAATCCATCCCCAGACGCTGAGACTCAGTGCTATTGGCTTTGGCAACATTCGTCATGCCAATAAACTCATTGAAATTGAAGAAACCAGAGGGGAAAGGAGAGCAGAAAATAGAAGGGGGTGAGGACAGCGAGAGGGAGGAGGGTCTACAAAGAACAGCAGGGAAGGGGAGCTGCCCCCAAACCCTCCAGTGAGCTTAATGGGAGAGATGTCACGGATGCCGAATGGCTGAGTTCACGGAGAAGAGAAGGCACAGGCACGAGAAGACCCCCTCCCTACCCCCAAACCCACCTCTGTCTGCTCCCGATTCTGCTGAAGCTTCTATACTCATAGAAATGTCTCTGGAAAGCTTCCCGTGACACAAATGACTAAGGAAATGCCCATGTACACATACACACACACACTCCACCACCAATGGGATAATGAAGGAGAAAACACCATGAAATAGACCAGCCATGACCATGAGGGAAATATACCAGGCCCTTAGGACATGTTTAAACCAGGGGAGACCTGAACTGCGGAGCCGCTGGGCAGAGCCGGATTCCCGCTAGCACCACCGTCCCCCACCCCATAACTGCTCTGGAGCTGCGTTCTGCCCTGAATATAATTCTTCGAGTTTTCTAGAATTAGGGATGCTACCTAGAGTTTATCCAGGCCAGCTCAGCATTGTTTTTCCGGGATAGATGATTGCCTCTCCTAATTTTAAAAAAATTTTTGTTTAAAGATTTTACTTATTTATTTGAAAGACAGAGAGAGGGAGCGAGCACACAAGCAGGGGGAGCGGCAGACAGAGAGAGAGAGGGAAGCAGGTTCTCAGCTGAGCAGGGAGCCTGATGCGGGGTTCTATCCCAGGACCCTGGGATCATGACCTGAGCCACAGGTAGATGCTTAACTGACTGAGCCACTCAGGCACCCCTGCCTCTCCTCATGTTACGGGCCCCCAGAAATGGTGGCCGCCATGTTTCACAGCTTGTGTCATCAGAGAAGCCCTCTCATTAGCTGATACTTGGCTGTCTTCCTCATCTGCCATGACTGGGCACAAGTACCAGCACCAGAACCCCGGAGCCCCACCCGGATGCAATAAGGGAAACTGTCCGGCTGTTCGCTGGTGTCTCCTGACAAAGCAACTCCTACTTCCATCACCTCTTCCTCAGCCTGTCTGCTTCGGCGACTGTCTTGGCTTCCTGGCAGCCCTGCACTATTCCTACAGCTCCCCTTCTTGCCTCTCACTTCAGATGCTCCTCCACGGCTAGCAGAGAGCTAGCTTGTCTGTTCCGTAAGCCTGCCTAATTTTGCCACCTACCTGCCTCTCTGTTCTAGAGATCAAATTTGAGACAAAGCTCATCTGCTGGGTAAGGAGGGTGCTGAAGACCATCTGAGGAAATGGCTACTGATTATACATTAGCCAAAGTGAGGGCGGGAGAGAGAGCTATGACAGAGAGGAAGACCACCTCTAGCTATGACTGTGACGTCTGGTAATCCAAGAACACAGAAGGGAGTTGCCAAGAACTTCTTGGCTTATCGAAAGCTGGGTTGGGTTTGGTGGGATTCGATTTTCGAAAGTGGGTGCTCACGTAACTGAGGACTATGACTTGAATTTAGGAAGGGGCTGTTTACTCTTCAAAGAGAACTTATTTCATAACCACAGGTTATTCTATGGAATTTTTTTTTAAAGATTGATTTATTTATTTGACAGAGAGAGGTCACAAGTAGGCAAAGAGGCAGGGAGAGAGAGAGGGGGAAGCAGGCTCCCCGCTGAGCAGAGAGACTGATGTGGGGTTCAATTCCAGGACCCCGAGATCATGACCTGAGCCAAAGGCAGAGACTTAACCCACTGAGCCACCCAGGCGCCCCATTCTATGGATTTCTAATCAGCGGTCTCATTCATGTTGCTATGTGTCGTAAGATGGGTCAGAACCATGGGTTTCTCAGGGTAACCTCATCCTGGCTATGGACAAGCATGGGGAAGCAATGCCCTCTTGGCCGAACGTGGCCACACACACGTGGATACACACATGAAAATGACATCATGCAACTGAGGGAGGGAACTATCAGACAGGGACTCTGTGGCGAGTTGGAGAACCTGTGTCATGTGTAAGAGGACAGCTGTAGTGTTTGCTGGGTTTGAGCCAGCTGAGAAATTATGTGGGCTCTGAGACTAAATAATACAAAGGGACAGGGAGCAGGGTACAGGAATGCTCCCCAATGACTCTACGGGAACCTTTTTTTTATCAGCTAGGGCTTAATTTGAGACAAAAGACTGATGCTGTGAGCATAGGATTCCCGCCCTGTCCAGGGCCTGATGGATCCATTCCTTTAATGAAATGCACACAGTTTATTTTACCAACTCTAATTACGTGAAGAATGAGTGTCAGGTTTCTTTATCCTTCTGCCGGCCCTGAATCCAGGCCAACTTCACAAGACTTACGTGCACTGAGGCTAATGGAGCTTTTATTCCAATGAGTTGAGAGCCAACCCACCTTTGTAGAGAGAAGAATATTTAAAAAAAAAAAAAAAGAGTAAAGAAATACTTAATGTTCGTCTAGCGGATGAAAAATTTCACAAGATAAATTAAAGTGTTTTCTGGCTGAACGGAGAAACCAGGGCAGGATGGTGGAGATAATTTTCCCAGGACTCAAAATGATTTATCTTATCTCTGTGTTCTTTAGACAAGAGGTTCCATTTATTTAGTCATTTATTTTATTAGTTTTCTGAAGATATCCCCCCACCCCACCATGTCCCTACCACCAACACAAGGACTCAGCACTTGGCATAGGGAACATGGGATGGGGAGAGGAGCCTGAGATCCCGCCCGCCATTCATTCAGTCACTGATTCAATCGTGTCACATAACACTTCAACACTCGAGGCCGTGGGCTCAGATGGAAATGGTTCCTGTCCTCGCAAAACTAGCAACTGAATGGGGGATAGACTCATAATCAAGCAAATATCATTCTCTGTGATAAATGCGATGCTGTCTGACCCCTCTCTGCCACCCACACACCCCAATAACAGGCTTTGAGGAAACCTCAGGAAATCATCTTGTTTAGTAGCTCTTAAAAGGGGGGATTTTGTTTGCCAGGGGTCATTTGACGTTTTTGGTGGTCGCACTGGGAGAGCGGGGTGCTATTGGCATGCGGTGGATAGAGGTCAGGGGTGTCGTGCAATACAATGCTCAGAACAGTAACCCCCCTCCCCCTCTCCCCCTCCCCTTGCGGAAGAACTTTCCAGCCAAAATGTCAGTAGTGCCACTGTTGGCAAACCTGTGTCCTTCTGCCTCACACCCGTCCTGTGCTCGGACCAGGCTGAAAACCCTCCTGCTCCTCTCAAATATTCCTGTTTGTTCAGGCAAGATCTGTGCAGGTCTGAGAGATGGGATTTCCCTCTGCTCTGCTCTCGTCACTGGAGATAGACCTGCACTTGAAAAGTAGCATTAATGAGTAAACTTCACTTTATGGGAGGTAGTCGAAAGCTCTTTGGGAGAGCAGCTCAAGCACAGAGTGGAGATGAGAAAACAGGATCCTGCCTCCGTGCCTCCCATTGCTTTTTTCCTGGGGCTTTCTACCACACACAAAACTCCTCACTTGTAGAGCTCTTGGCAGTGGAAATAATTTGGGACTAGGTTGAGTCCTTAAATAGTTTCCCTTTTGCATGCCCCAACCATTATCCTGAATGTTTGTAAAAAGACTGCCAAGGCTTTTACTTCGGATCTTCATGTAACTGTATGTTACGTACCATGGAGTTATTTTTGAGCAATTAAGGCTCCCCATGCCAGATTTTCTCATCATCTACCAAAGGCATAAAGAGGGGGCCTTGTGTCTGGCTTTCCCAGAGAAGCAGATGGCACTTTGGGTACTGGCAGGAGACAGGTGTGAAATTTCAGGGGCCG